TACAAGTTACTCCCAGGGAGATTCCGATTGGACACGAGAGGTAAATTTTTCACAATGAGAACAGTCAATCATTGGAATAATCTCCCCAGGGAAGTGGTTGGCTCTGCTATGCTGAACATGTTTAAGACTCAGCTGGACATGGTGCTGGGCCATCTCATCTAGATTGTGCTAGAAAGGTTGGACCAGATGATCCTTGAGGTCCCTTCCAACCTTGTATTCTGTGATTCCATGATTCTGTGATTCTATGAGTTTGAGAAAGGAGACTGGGAAAGACAGAGGTCAAACTAGTTTTAGAACCAGGACAGGTTCAGAAGGCAACTGTCAGGAGTACTAGATTCAAAAACCTTGCGACACATCAGAAAAAGACAGCGAACTTACGCAAATATATTACGCATCAAAACAAGACAGACCTGTGTGTAGTAAAAAACATATAGATGAAGGCACTCCTTCCAAAGAAAATGGAAAAACAAGTTTTGTGATGATTTCTTGCCGTTGCAGAGGCTAAGCACAGTGTGATTTCAAGGCAGTCCAAGAGGAAGTTGAGGCAGGCTGTTGAATATAACTGACCCGAGTAGCTCAGTTTTGAACAGCCTTGGGTTGTACTGCCTTAAAACAGCTCTTTGAATTTCTGCATATTTTTATAAAAAAGCAAGGTTACTTTGAGAGCCCTGGAACCATGTTAGTGATTTCTCAAGTAAACTGGGACTACTTCATAGGTATCTGCACTACAGAGCAGTGGACTAGACATTCTGGACATATTTTAAAGGAAGTTGAGCCTTGTTTCCCCAGTCTGAAAAGATGGATCTGAAATATAAGACATATAGATGGGGAAGAGTGCAGGTTTTAAAAATGGGCAGAATGTATTGAAAACTCAGATCTCATCAAGTAAACACTGAGCTTAATAAAGGAAAAGAAAGCCTGGTTCTAAGTAGTGAGGATCCATTTAAAAAAACTCACAGTTTTTAATGAAAGTTGTGTTTTTCAACAAAGAAAGAATTTTTTTTTTATTTGAGTAAGTCTGCCTAAATTGTTTATTTTGCCTTTTAATGCACTGGAAAAAACCCTTCTAAGAACCTTCTAACATAGTGAGAATACTCTAAAAGCTGTACTCTTAAAAAACACCTTTTTAAAGGCACAAATATTATCAGTTCGCACTTGGAAAAATTTTGCCTGACAAAAGACCCAAAGAAATTACTTTGACTATGCAAACTGTCATTAGAAGTATTTTACCTGCAGAATAAAACATCCTGTGCAAACGGGGAGTTTTCTGGCTGTGTTCCAGCCTTGAGATGACTGACATTGAAGTATGAGAGTGTGTGATTGATGAAGCCATGCATGGTTCCATTTTGACTGTATGCATATTGATACATAAGGCGTGGAATGAAATCAGATGTGACAGCAATTACAAAAGCCTGAGAGACAAAACAAAACCAACCAAACAACAGCATCATGAATCTATGTCTAACATGTTTCAGGTTAAGTTAATTCAGGTGATAATTTTCACATTCAAGTAAGTTTAGAGTGGTGATGAAGCGAGAGTTAAATGGCCAGACCTGGTACGGAACATATACCTATATAAATGCACAGTAACCTACTCTGTTGCTAGGGGAAGGTTGTAGTTAGGGAAGTGGAATATTTCTTAGAGCATAGAGTAGCAAAAGCAATTAATGTACTGTACATTTCTCCAACTCTTTCCATCCATGGAGCCATTAGGAGATTTATCACTGGTTTTAAAAAACTACAACAAGATATAATAGGTAGCTGGTGTAATTTGGAGTATAATTTGGCATAGTTACAGAGTGTTATCTGAGATAAACCAGTTGAGTGTAAGGTAGTCATCCTCCATTTTCCCCTCTGCATCAGGATTTACACATCTGACACTGGTGGATCTCATGCTGGTATAAAACAGATATAATTGTGAAGTGAATCAGACACAGAAGTATCTAGATCATGTCAATAAGAATTCATTAGATTCATTTAAAACTACGGTTTGCTAAATAGTTCTTCTGCATCAGTGTTATACAGATGGAGAAGTAGAACTGGGCATTCAGGATTTTTTAAAATTGGGTATGCACATATTTACATTTCTGTCAACAAAACGTAGCTAACTGATATTTTAATGGAATCCCCAGGAAATAAAAATGTTCAGAGTTTGCTTGACACAGAAAATAACCCAGCATTATAAATCTGCAAAGTGTATTCAGATAAAACTGAGAGGCTGCAGAGTTTTGCTCATCCAGCACAGATCGCTGCTGGAAATCTGAAATCTATGACAGACAGCAGAATTATAGGTATGTGCAGGGCTGCACAGATTTCATACCTTAAATCCTGGAAACTGCTGAGCCATAATTGAGCAGTGCTCCACCCAAGTCAAACAACACTGCTTCTCTGGAGGCATTATAGTTCTCCCAGTTGTAATGAGAGCTTACATACTACTACAGAGTGCTGTTGTGCTGGAAGCTATTGTACTAGATAAATTGCATAACACCTCTGCACATGTTTCCCCTTCAGTATCGACAATCATCTGCCTTTCTATAGTGCTTTGATACGTTTGATATTTTACGGTTGGACTCTATGATCTTAGAGGTCTTTTCCAATCTAAATGATTCTATGATTCTATGATCTGTGGGTCAAAACCCCACTAGATAGTATTATGATTAAACTCCTAGGGCATGAGACTTTTATCTTAAAGCGTGTACAGGAAAATTTTACTTAAGGAATACATGTAGAACAATAAATATAATATATCTGTATACCAGACACACATTATGTTCATGCAATCATTCTTGCTTTATGAAAGAATGTATTTTTCCATTAGGATTTTGTAGCTTGGGGAGTGTGTAACCCAACTCAAAAAAAAAAAAAAAGGAAAAAAAAGCTACTCTTACAGAAATACTCACTCTTTGGGAGAAATTATGTTTAGGGATTTAACCATAAGTGTATAAGCTTCCAAGATCATGGTTAGAAACTGGTGTAACCAAATACTTACATTAATGATAACTGAAAGCTTTCCAATACCACTCAAAATGTTATACCAAATTCCTGTAAGTGAAAAACAGAATTTATTAATGAATTTACTATCATTTTTCTTCTTATTGAATTTTTGGTTATCTTCACTGTAATGTTTTTTCATTACTTACCTATGTCTTTTGCTCTTACTGTGTCTGGCCTCCTCAGTTCAGTAACAAACTTTTTTGCATCAAGCCGGACTTCTATAATGTTGTTCAGAAGAGCAAAGAGGGGTGCCAGGGGGAAGGAGGCAACAAAGAGAGTGACAAAGCCAAACTGGATAACTGGAAGAGAAATATGTAATGTTTTTTGATATCTTCTGAAGGGAGCTGGTAAATGCAGCTGACAGCAAATCATTGATGAGCTTTGTGGGTTACAAAACCCATAAAACTCTGCTTCACAATTTGGTCCCAGTAATATCTCTAAGCAAGGCTATGAAAGAAAGGTTTGTGAATGCTTTATGAATGTTTCTAATAATGCTTCTAGTCTCTAGCACAAGCACAAGCCAAAGTAAATAATAAATTTAATAAAGGACAAAGGGTTTGGGGTGTGTTCTTCTGCATTTATACATAATTAACTGATTAAGACCATGCTGTTCTTCCCTGTCCTTTTGCCTGAAAGAAAAATGATACACAAGCAAGCAAGAGGAGAAAATCTACAAGGTGTCACTGTTTCTTCCAAGCTTCCTTTGGAAAACTCAGTGGAAATCTGTCAAGAGCAGGAACAGAATAAGTATCTTTGTGGATGCATGAGCCTGTGGTGTTGTATAGCATTTTCATCCCTCCTTATGTCACTGATATCCTCCAAAGTTAGAAATCTTCCTCTTCAAGTCCCAGCAAAGGAGAATGCTATTGTCACTTTTTTTTTGCTGGATTTGCAATTTGGGTAGTTTGGCAGAAAGAAAGCACTAGTCCACTGGTCCTAAAGAACAAGTGGTACTGCAATGAAGCACAGGCCTCCTGAGTTCTCCATGCTTGCTTGAACAGATGCATGACTAATAAGCCTGGTTTCTCCCACAGGGGAAAAAAAACCAACCAACCAACCAACCAACCAACCAAAGAAAGCCCTCTCACTTTGAAGTGGACAGCACATTTTGTATCACCTTGTTCCCAGTACTAGACTACTAGCACTGCAGAGTTCAGCTCAGCACCCATGGTATAATGATATAAACAAAAAGACCACATTGGTTTCTGAGTGAATTATGCCTCTTCTCTAGGGCATAGAATGACCTGTCTTCATGCAAACAAATTATCTTCTAAGCAGCTAAGGAACCAATATCACCCTGCAAAACCACAATGCTGACACAACTGTGTTCTTCTGACAACTCGCAGTGCTCTAGAGATGCTTGGAATAATGTAGTAGAAAACCAGGTCTCTCCAAGCAAGTTTCTTCAGTTTTTGGGTGGACAGAGTATCCTTAATTCCCAGTTCTTTCAGTGGCACTTCAGAATCTATGTCATCTGGGTAAATCTCATTTGGGTACAATTAGAGTCTGAAAAGGGCTGACTTTTTTTTTTTTTTTTTCTCCAAGGTGCTGAGGAATTAACAAATTGCCTAAAAGGCTGTGTCTTCCATGGAAAGCAGGAGGCATCAGTGGTGAATGTTACTCATGAGACTGGATCATTTCCTTGTAAAAATGCTACATTTTTTTAAAGTAATACTTCAGGGAAGTGAGAGATGTTTATTACCCCAGAAAACTAATGAGGAGTAGAAGAAGAGGAAAGAGACCAAAAAGCATGCTGCCCAAATGCAAAGGCAGTAATCCCAATAAGATTAAACTAATAAATCTAACTTTGACTTACACTTCAGAATTAAATAAATAGTAATATAGAAAAAGGTTTGGTGTGTATGAGGCCCTATTTATTGTGGCTTCTTTTTTGGCAAATCCCTGTATAAGTTCTCTCTCCACTATGGGAGGAATCTGTTGCACTTTTTGTGAAAATCAGGGGTTTACATAGCACAACTGTTTACTTTAAAATCATTTCCTTAGGCACGGTTGTCACAGCTTACAACCAACTGATAAAACAGCTTTCTCCAGGATCTTCTCTTGCATGGATCTTTTTTTATGTGCAGATTGCAAGTCTGCTGACTGATATTCCTGCTTTTCTCTTCTCAGTGGCAATATATTTGCACACTAAAGCATTAGCTCTATATTATATGTAAGGCCTTTTGATTTTCTTTCTCATTGTTTTGCTTTGAGATAAAGAGTATATCCTAACATACACTAAGATGGAGCTTTCTCAAAGCATACACACATCCTATCCTTGAAATCATACTTTCCTGAATATTTTACATTCAGAGTCAGGAAAAGGAATTAACAAGGAAATAAAAACAGATGTTAGAGTAATGTCCCAAAAAACTGTGAAATGCTTGGAAAAATACATAGTGCAAAAATATGCCTTATTTGGTTTTAAGTTAATTTAGCAGGAATAGAGCTGGGAGGATTTTGTTAAAAAAAAAAAAAAAAAAAGATATATTTGCAATGCTTTAAGTATAAACCACACATGCATTTGCTTTGATGTTGTTTGCCGTTCCTTTTATTCATTGCCTGGCAAAATGCAGTTTAATTTTTTTTCAAGTTCATGAAAGAATGTTCAAGATACGCAAAGGACTTCTGAACAATTGTGTAAATATGTCTTCATAGAAAACTCTACGCCAGAAATGTTTGTGTGGCCATCTTGAAATCTCTTCAGTCTTCTAGCCTCTTTTTTATGAAAGCGTGAATGATGCAAAACGCAGGCAAAAAAACCCAAAACCAAGCACACCATAATTTAGACGGTCTTGTGTAGTAAACTAGCAAACAATCATTCAAAACAAGCAGTCTGTGAACAAACTCAGCAATTTAAAGGTGCTTGTTTAGTTCAGTCAGTGTTTGTAGAACCATCTATGTCAGCAAAGCTGCATGGACTAAAAAGAGAAGAATCTCTGCAGTACAGTTCATGTCCCAGAAGCAATCTAGTCACAGGATTTTGGCGTTCTGTGGATGCCTGTCTAGTCACAGTGGAAACAGTAATGATACTTTCAGAGCACTCACAAAGACTGTTCCATCAAGGACAGCTGATGCTGAGACATCCTATTTTTGGCTGGAGGACTTGATGGCAACCCTGGAATATGCTTTTTACATTCATGCTTAGCCGCAAGGTCTCCATATAAAACTCTTCTAGTGTTCACGTACAACTCTCTGATCCCACATAGGAGGCCTACCTGACTTGGGTGATTATTCTCCTGTGCTTTGAGGCAAAAGGCTAAAGAGACCTGTGCCAGGAGGTGGACCTCTGAACATCCAGCTTCTTTCATAGCTTTCCTACTTGCCTGGTAGGCCAGCCTGGAGACAACAGAGATGAACATCACCCAGCCTCATGGCACAAGCTAGTGAACAAAATGATTGAAGGTTGTGTATAAGGGGAAGTCAAGGACATGGGAAATAATGCCTTCTCCTGGGGCATCAAAGCAGGAGACTAGATGTGCTGTCAGTGACACAAACTCTATTTCTGACGAGCGAAAAGACCCAAACCATATATGATTGGAGCCCAGAACAAGTCATCTTTACTGTCTGACTTACGCAGGAAAGAGGCAAAGGCCTCAGAGCCAGCCCATGAGGTTTTCAACACCTGATGCCACACCTGCAACATCTCATCCTGGTTTAGGCTGGCTGGGTCCTGACACAAAAACTATAAGAGACAAACAGCATCAAGAGAAGTCTCTCAGGCCACAGCACTTCTCAGAAGTCAACTTTTCACAGAAGCAGTTCCTCTGTGCACAGGGCCTGAGCAGAACCCAACCCCAACAAAGAAAGAACAAGCACATGCTGTCCCTCTAACTCAGGCCTCCAAATTACAATTAAGAGCACAGATCCAGGCTTTTAAATTACGGATCTGGAGAGTGCTGGCTAGTATTCTTGTGTAAGTGATACAGAATCAGTCCACAGCATAAAACCTTCCACAGTGAATACCACTCAGGTTCTACCAGATTTACACATTGACTAGTGTGAGTAACCCTAGTATCTTTTACATCAAAATCTAACCTAAGAGAAGGTAATTGTTTATGATTCCATTGCTTTTTTTCTTACTTCTGTATCAATAATATCTGTCATAGGATCATGTGTTACTGGAAGTAAACAATGAAAGAGTCACTCCCTTGCTAAGCAACTTTCCAAGTCCTCTGAGAAGAAACTTTTCAATATACAGCCAAACCTGGCTGAGAAACAAGGGAAAAGGTATAACTTACTACTCTTTGGTAATAAATGTATGCAACAAGCCTACACAGAACAAGCTGAGTTGGTATTTTCAAATCTGTCCTCATTATAGAGATTATAGAAAAATGCAGGTTTCTCTTCAATGATTCCCTTTTTCTTTTGCTTCCTCACACATTGCCTTTTTGATGGCTTTTCCTGCTTTAGGGAAGTTCTCCCAGACCTCTAAGATTAATCCTTACGGTAGTCTGTAGCTACAGACGTTGGATCTGATCATTTTCTTCTTAAAATTCAAAAGGGACTTTTGCCATTGATTTTTAACAGAAGTTGGATGATGAAACTCTTTATTATTATTTCTCTTTGAGAAAAAAAATGTTTTCAATTAATTGTGACATGAATTTTGGACTCTTAGAGGAGCTAGACTGGAGAAGGGAAGACCGAATGAAATAAGAACCTGAAAGTCATTGCTGATGTCAGTTTCTTCTCAAGAAAACAGTAGTGGTGTAAATTTCACACATTCACATGCATCATTTAGCTGGTTTTGGAGCCGATTTCATGAAGTTTGTTTCATTAGCAATGTTTATTGCTACTTTAAACATCTATTTCTTGCTGACTCCTATCACTGCAGACTAGTTACACATGTTGCAAACTTGCTACCAGCTGGATGAGGAAATTGCTATACATGCTACCTACTACGGGAATGGGTGTGGTCTGGTATATTGGGCTGGGTCAAAAGTCATTGCACAGTTTTAGAAACAGAAAGTACAAATGACAAATTTGACACATGTTAACAATGACAATTTATATTTCAGGATTCCTTGAGCAACATTTTCTGATCACTCAGAAACATTAAGAGTGTCTCTGCTTAAGAGTGTCTGCTAAGAAATACAAATATATATCAGTTAATAAATACCAAAACAAAGAGAAATGTCACTGCTGCAAATCAAAACTATGTGCGGACATGCTATTGACTGACAAGGCCTGTTCAAGAAAGAAGTTTGGCACAGTCTGCTGACTGAAATCAGATTCAGTTCAGCTCACTGAAGAAGTGACCCACAAAAGCTTTCCCTGAAGGAAAACTTAGAGTTTATTT